ATACTGCAGGAGTGCTGGAAGCTGCAGGAGAGAGCTGGAAGCTGCAGGAGTGAGCTGGCGTCACAGAGGGAAGGCAGTAGCGAAGAGTGAAGTGAGTGGAGCCTCGAAGAGTGGTGATCGAATGACTTTCGGAAGTTAGCCCTGAAAAGGACTGTTTGAACAACTGCTGCTACTGCTGCTGGGTCCCGTCAGCTGCTGGGCTTGGTCGACTTGACTGGGCGCGTCAAAGTCGCGAATCAGGGAGGCGAGATTTATTTTGTAAAAAATACAAAATTGTGGCACAATGCCGAAAAGGGGGAGGGGGTAAGGCTGGTCTTCACTATCTTATACCTAGCTAATTTGATTCACGACCCAATCAGACATTACAATTTACTCATTCACCATAAGAACTCGTCCGTCACCAATCAATCCTCCTTGCACCATAATACCACATCCACTCAAGGGAGACCTACAAAACGCGCCCCATGTCATAACACATATGTACACAAATTCTAAGATGAAAAAATGAGATGGGGGTGGGATGTGAACCCAATAACAAACTAAAATATTAACATAAATGAAAATAAAACGTTAACTGATGTTAGTAGGGCCCGTCCAACCCTCAAAATGCAGGGAGACCACTGCATTCTGCCCATTGGAACAAAATCAAGCAGCTCTCTCGCTAAGGGAGTGGGAAAGGTCATAAAAAAATCATACGGGCATGGGGAAGTATAAATCTGACCCAGTCGAGATAGAAAGTGGGGGTCAAAAAACAAACTGGGGAAGTTGGGAATCTCAGGCTGGATCAAAACTAAAGATGTGGCCGGGGCAGGCCAGGAACAACACTTACTCACATTAACTAGGTACACCAAGGCTTGTCTAACCTAACCAAGGGGAGGGCACCACAGGAAGCCACCCCGATGTAACGTAGGCTTGACCTAAAACAGAAAATCAAGGCTAGCCCCGTTCACATGAACCAAGCTCGCCTCAGTCACCTACCTTTCGCTGAAGACTGTCGAATGCAAGCGTTTTCTATCAGTTCTAATCTTCGTCTTGAGCTGATGCTCAAAGAATCGGTTCAGATCCTGATGAGAAAGACGGTTACCCCGCAAGACTTCCTCCTCTCGCGTCGTCCATATCACCATTCGGGCCGTGGCTAGCAGCGTGAGAAACACCATCCGTTTCACCCCGGAATACGGGGCGACACATTGTCACACGCGTATGCGCGATCAATGGGCACAAGCTTTTCGGGGAGCGAGACGAGCCGTCAGCTCGCCGACATGGTCCCATAAGGGGCGGACCCGGGGGCAATGGAAGAAGGCGTGCGAAGCCGTTTCCTCTAGACCAAGGCCACACCGATCGCAGTCTGGCAAATCCGCCAAGCCCCATATGAAGGCCATGTCGTTGAGAGGCAGCCGATTCCGAGCCAGTCGCCAGGTAAGCGAAAACTCGGGGTTACTGAGGTAATCCGCCGCTGGCGCCCAAGACCAGTGAGAACGAAACTCACCATCCGACATGTCGAGATCTTCACGTAGGGGATCCTTCGCGACCCTCTCCACTAGCAAACGATAGAAGTCCTTCCTAGGCCGAGAAAGGTCACTGGACCAAGGGACAGCCAACAAGGCCGACCGACACTCGCTAAAGAAAACCGATTGGACCCGGGGTTTACGACGGCGATCCACCTGCGAGCTTGGGGGACTGATGGCAAGGCGAGGGAAGGCGGCCCTCACAATCCCCTCAATAATCGGATCTCCACCTGTCAAAGCGCGGCGTAGGAAAGCCAACCTCGAGGCACGTTTGTGGCTCAGCAAGTGTGGCATTCCCAGCCCCCCATGACACGGACGTTGTGCACAGACTGGTCGTCACAGAGAGGAAGTACGGACAATCGATAAAGGACAAGAGGGAAAATGTATGTAGCACACACCTCCGCCCTGCCCTTCACGGACAACCTCCGTCGACGCCAAGTCTGACCGGAGGCGTAGACCTTTGCTCATACTTCGGACCAATTCTTCTCCAGCTGGAGGTCGGGTCCAAACCACACTCCGAGAATGCGGACAGGACCGTCCGTCCAACCGAAAGGCCCTGGAAGATCGACCCCCTTCCAGGCGCCTAGCCGCAAGCCGGACGACTTGTCGCGGTTAATCTTTGCCCCTGTCACCTTTTCGTACCGATCAAGCGCCTTCTGTACTGCCCTGATGCCTCTGCAGGACGACACGAAAGCAGTTACGTCATCGGCGTACGCGGAAACCCTGGCTCGAGCCCCGCCAGGAACGGCGATTCCGCATAGGGCCGGCCTGCACGCCCCGTCCCTCAGCCGGCGAAGGAGAGGCTCCAACGCCAAAGCTTAAAGTAGGGGCGACAGCGGGCAACCCTGACGAACCGACCTAGACAGCGCAAAAGCGCCTGACAGCTTTCCGTTCACCTGTACCACAGCACTAGGGGGAGCGATACAGGAGGCTAATCCAGCGGCAGAAGTCGGGTGTGAATCCGGCGGCCTTCAGGACAGTAGCAAGGTAGCGATGGTCAACTCTATCAAATGCCTTGGACTGATCCAAATTGATCAGCGCGGCACACTCGTCGTCTTTTACACCCTCTATGATCGTGCGGATCAAATGCAGGTTGCTCTGAATTGTTCGACCCCTCACAGAACAGGTCTGCTCGGGACCCAACAGAGACTCGGCAACTGACTGCAAGCGCTCCTGCAGGATCTTGGCCATAATCTTTAACTCTGTGTTTAGCAGAGTTATGGGCCTGTAGTCGTCTAGTTCCCCCCCGACATCTTTGCCCTTTTTCAACAGCGTGATCACACCCCTGGAGAACCGGTCGGGGAGAGACACCTGCCGGAACCAGTTGTTGAAGACGACCGTCAAAATCGGGACAAAGATGTGCGACAGCCTCAAGTACACTTCATAGGGCAGACCATCCAGACCGGGCGACTTGCCTCTGCCGACCTTCTTCAAAGCCGCGTAGACCTCGCCCTCGGTAATCTCTCCCTCGCAGCTAGCCGCTTCAGTCGGCGAAAGCCGAGGAAAGTCAGCTAAATAGCTGCGAAACTCGTCCTCACGAAGACCAGGCTCCCTGGTAAAACAGCTCTCGAAATGCCGCCTAAACGCCTCGCACATGTCGTCAGTGGCCCGAAGGGTGCGCCCTTCCAGGGTTTTGACTTCACGAATATAACGATCGCCACCTCGACGGACCTCTTCCCTGCGCAGCTCTGCTCCCATATTCACGGCTTCGGAAGACATCTTGCTTAACCTATGCCTAATTACCTGGCCCATGTAGCGCTCGCTATTCAAACGCTGCAGAGCCTCCTTAGCTACGGCTATCTCTAGGGGATCCCCCCCCCAGCCACCGCCCGGGAATGACTAGCTTTAAGCGTCCTCACCTTGTCAGCTCTATCTAGGGCGAGCCGTTTGCTGAAATCAGTGGTGAAGGACCTAATTCTACATTTAAGTCTGTCCCACCACCTATTCCCGATAACCGCCCCCACTAGCTCCCGCTGCACTAAGTTAGTCAGATGCTCCCGAAGTCCTGCCTGTCCAGTAAGGACAGATTGAACTTCCAGTAGCCAGCCATTCTAGGCCTATGTTCTAACGCCACACGGGCACAAACGAGTTTGTGGTCCGTATAGCCTACCCAGTGGAACGTGGGACAATCTAACAGATCTATGTCGGCCCTTCTCACTAACATTCTGTCAAGGTAGCTAACTACCTTGTCACAAGGCCAGCTAAGAGCCCACGTCCACATATTCCCCCCGGGGTGATCGACCCGGTATCTATCAACGAGACCGAAATCTGTGATCAGATCGACCAGGCTACGATTGCCCCTTCTCCCGCTAGCACCCCGCCCCCGATCTATCTTGGGGTCCAGGTCGGCATTCCAGTCCCCCATTAGAACTAAGCGCTTGGAATCCACCAGGAAAGGCCCCAACCGCCGAAAAAACGAAACCCGCTCCTCCTGGTCGTTGGGCGCATAAACCGCAACGACCCGAAACGAACCACTTTTCACGGCAATATCGGCCACGATCAACCGTCCCTCGGCATCGGTATGCACAAGGTCCACCTTCGCATCTAGAGTCCGCTTCACCAGCAAAGACACTCCTCTGGCAGTTCGGTCTCCATATGCTGAATAGACGACAAAGTCGTTAGACAACACACACGCATCGGAACTGCAAACAAAGTGGGTCTCTTCGATCGCGGCAACATCCACGCCGAACGACAGGAGATCCCGGAGCAGGCGGGCCGCCTTACCCCGATCCCTCAAGCCATTCACATTCAGCGTCGCTATCTTGACAGACATGGTTTAGGCCTGCAAAAAAAAAAGAAAAGAAAACATGCAAAAAAGCCTACTCACATACCGGGCAGAAATCTGCGTTGGTAAGGACCCCGACGGCCTGTCCCAGATTTCCGGTTCCTAATTCGGTCGTCATACGACCGTCTAGGATAATCCCGCCGACGTCCGTGGGGTAAGTTAGTTTTACCGCCCTATATAAGGAGGGATGGAGCAACACGGGGACCCTCCCAGCACAAAAGTTTCTTAGTTTGTTAAGGGTGGAATTGTCCGTTTCAACTATACGGATGTCGGGGAAGTCTTCCTTCGCCTCAAAGATGTGGTTCCACACTTTTAGATACGCCCCCTTCTCCCTCACGCAGGTTATCACTCCCGGGGCCTGTGGGAAGTTTCGGGGGTCCTCTATACGTTTTCCGTCGACAGCGTCCATCTTGTACAGACCTCCTAAGATGGCCTTCCTCTGCTTTGTCAGACCCCATTTAAAGTCGTTTCTGTCGACTTTGCATATAGACTCGGGGCCTGCAAACATTTTCTTTTTCTTTTTCTCTCGGGACGGATGGGGAGGGGAAGAGGTAGATGTGTGGGGCAGGGTGGCCGAAGCATCTAGGGAGGAGGAAGTGGAGGGAGAGGGGGGTGGAGCACGGGACGGGAAGGGAGGGTGGCTCCTAGGTTTGGTGGCAGCCACCGATCTTCTTGGAGAAGCAGGGACGGAGAGCGACCTGGATCTCTCCATGCCTTCCTCCGCCCTACTACTGCTAGGCTCTTTTTGTTTTTTATTTTCCTCCTCGTCGTCTTCGTCTTCCTCCCTGCACCTTTTCAGGGATGAAGCACGAGGTGGGGGCCTTCTGTCCACCTCCATCTGTTGTTGTTGTTGTTGCTGTTGTTGTTGCTGCTGCTGCTGTTCTTTTGGCTGCCTCTGTTGCTTCCGTTGTTTCGGCTGCTGCTGCTGCTGTTGTTGTTTTGGTTGCTGCTGCTGCTGCTGGCCTTCTTTTGTTGCCTGCACCTCTTTCACTTTTACCGGCTGAGGTATCTCTTTTTGTGGGGGTGGAGGTAAAACTTTCGGAGACTTCTTGCCTCTGACCACCTCCTTCCACTCTCCGTCCGATTTAGACGTCCCCTCCTCCGGTTGACTTGCAGTAACTTTTTTGCTGTTGCAGCTGCCGGTTGTGGCGCAGCTTGTGTGCCCTTCTTACTGGGGCACCCCTTCGCCATGTGGCCCGACACACCACACGACCAACACCAAGGCTTCCTGCCCTCCACCACCAACCAGCATCCTCCTATCTCGGCAGGTCAACGTGTTGGGGACGTCCCTAAATGCAGTTCTATTTAGAGTTACCTGCACCTCCATGTCCCCCGTCTCAATTCCAGACTTACTTCTGAGGGCTTTTACTTCATTCACCTCTCCATACTTGGTGAAGAAGGCCCCTATCCTGTCTTCGGAAATGTCCACGGACACCCCATGGACGGTAATCCTTGTCCTGCGGGTGCCCATGTACTCTGTCTGAAGTCTCAGGGTCTTGGACGTCAACGTCTTCCCGGCCAAATCCCTGGCTTCTTGTTCTGTTGCGAGAAGAATGTCCCATAGGGCGTTAGTTCTTCTCGCCAGCACTTTTGGGTGTATGTGCAGAGCTTTTAGAGTTTCTTCCATGCTTTCCCTGCTGACTCCAAATAACTTTCTTGTTTTCACGTCCGAAGTCAGCAGGGAAATTGTTCTAGGTTCCACAGCATTTAGGGCTTCTTTAATAGTGAGGAACTCATTTCCCTTGAATGTTTCCTCAAACACTGTTCTTTGACTAGCATAAAAGCTGCCATCTTTCTGGGTCGGCCTGTTTTGCGACCAGGCCGATTTGCTAGGCGACACCGGTTCTGGAACCGGTGTCTCAGGGGTATTAGGAATATTGTTATCGACCATGGTGGAAAACCCACCACAGTCTAACGGCTTAAAAACTTTTTTTTTTAATGCTTTTGGTATATACAGGACAAAATTTGTTATTTAAGAACAAAATTAAACGTACGAAATGGGGGAAACCAAAGACAATAATAGTTTCAACAAAAAGGAAAACGGCAAATTAAAATGTGGGAGGGAGATAAAAACGAGAAGGAATAAAAAATACCGAGTCAACAAAAGGGAATAAGAAAACCAAGAGAGAAACGAAAAATAAAAAGTTTTTTTCAAAATAAAGGGTAAAAAAAGAAAAACTTATCGATTTAGGATGTCCGTATTCTTTTTGTTGACAGGCGGATCTTTTTTTACTTTCCTTGTGACAGTCCGTTTTGGTAAATAATCCAAGTAAGTAATCCAAGTGAGAAAAAAAGTCCGGTAAATCCAATGCGATATCAAGCTGGTAAGAACAGATACTACACTTTGGTCTTCAAAATACAAAAAACATACAACGCGAATCAGGGAGGCTTCCTGCATCCCGGGCCGGCTAAAAACCGCTGCGAAGTCTCGGCATCTAGATATGACGGTTCATACAAGAGAAAGTGGTGACGAAAAGTAAATGAATATAATTAATTTCGGGCCGTATTAATTACAGTCAAAAGTGTGTTCGGTGTTTGTTGACTGTATTTAAATTAATTTCGGTTCGAAATTAAAGGTCTTTTATTTTTGTTTAGTGGCGAAAATTGAGTTTTGTGTGTTTCTGACAGTTTGAAAGGATGTCGTTGCTATTTTTAGCACACAAGGGCCGTGACCTTTCTCTACCGGACGGCATATCCGGGGTTGTTTAAGAAAAGGTGGGAGTGGTGTTTGGGCACACTGCGACAAGACCCTCTCCCAGGATAATTGATCATTATCAATTAGAAGAAAATATATGTCTTGTACTTCTTAGGGAAGGTGACTTTCCTTCCAAGACGGGTCTGCCTAGGTGGAGTGGTGGGTGATTCTGGGATTGGCTCTGACCTCGGTGGTGATGGTTGCGATTGCGTGGTTGTTGAGGCAGGTGAGGTTTCTGGGTGTGTTGAGACGGGTTCTGCCTCCCGTGGAGATTTTTCCAGAAAAGCTGGTTTGACTCTGTCGATGGACATAGTGTCCGTCCGGCTTCCTCGATCAATGGTGAGATGCTTCTCAGAGCGTTTTAAGACTTTGAATGGACCCTGGTATGTTGGTGTTAGTGGTTTCTTTACCGCGTCATTTCGGACAAAAATGAACTCGCAGTCCTGAAGCTGTTGTGGAACGTGGATAGTTGGTGGTGATGATTGCCTGGGTGGTGTATACTTCAGTTGGGCCATTTTATGGCGAAGTTCCTGAGTGAAAGGACTTGCAGTGGTTAGGTTGGGTATGGTGTCGTCGAAATATTGGCCGGGTAAAGAGAGTGCTGTACCGAAGACTATTTCGGCTGGAGTGCATTCTAAGTCTTCTATGAGTGTGTTGCGGATTGACAAAAGGATTAAGGGTAGCTCGTCTACCCAGTTGCTGGTGGGATGTTTTGTAGTTAGAGAGGCCTTTAGTGTTCGGTGGAACCTTTCCACAAGGCCGTTGGCACAGGGATGGTAGGCGGTGGTCTTGATGTGTTTGACGCCGAGCAGTTGAGTGAATTCCTGAAAGAGTGAGGACTGAAACTGCGCGCCGCGGTCTGTGGTGATGATGCTGGGTACGCCAAAAATTGCGATCCACTCCTGAAGGATGGTCTTTGCTACCGTGCTAGCCGAGGTATCTCTGATGGGTACTGCTACTGGCCACCTGGAGAAACGGTCAACCACTGTGAGGAGGTACTGATAATTCTGGCACATTGGGAGGGGTCCCACTATGTCGATGTGGATGTGGCTGAAGCGTGCGTCAGGGTTGCTGAATGTGCCTGGCGGGGATTTGTTGCAGCGGGCCGAGAGGTGTGAGTGCCAATCGACCGTACAACTAAAACAGGGGACACAAAGGCAAGGAGTTGGCAATAGCAAAGAAGGATGACAAACGCCGATGGTCCGGTGTAGACGATGGAAATCGTGTCTTTATTTGCGAACGGTGGATGGTAAGACGACAGAGGTCGTTTGTTCGGGAACGGTGTCTGGACGATAACGGGCGCTGGACGTCAGTGGGCACTGGATTAGGTCGTCAGCGGGTGCTGGAATAGGTAGCGGGACGTCAGTAGAGCGCCGCAGGGATGAGCTGGAGGCCGCTGGAAGCTGCAGGAGAGAGCTGGAAGCTGCAGGAGTGAGCTGGAAGCTGCAGGAGTGCTGGAAGCTGCAGGAGTAAGCTGAAGGCTGCAGGAGTGCTGGAAGCTGCAGGAGAGAGCTGGAAGCTGCAGGGGTGAGCTGGCGTCACAAAGGGAAGGCAGTAGCGAAGAGTGAAGTGAGTGGAGCCTCGAAAAGTGGTGATCGAATGACTTTCGGAAGTTAGCCCGGAAAAGGACTGTTTGAACAACTGCTGCTACTGCTGCTGGGTCCCGTCAGCTGCTGGGCTTGGTCGACTTGACTGGGTGCGTCAAAGTCGCGAATCAGGGAGGCTTCCTGCTCCCCGGGCCGGCGGTATTTACTTGACTCCCACGAGGTCAAGATGTGACACAAGGTCGTTTTTCGTGGGATTACTTGACTCCCACGGAGTCAAGACGTGACACAAGGTCGTTTTTCGTGGGAAAACCCAAGCGTTTCCGCATTGGGTCACTGGTCAAAGATTGATCATAACACGTCCAAGCTGGTCAAATCTTAGTCAATGTTTTGGTCATAACATGTCCAAGCTGGTCAAAGCTTAGTCAATTACGGTCTTGGCTTGTCTTAGCAGGTCCTGATATGGTCCAAACTAGACTTTGCCATGGTCGCAACCCAGCCCGAAGGCCGGGCTGCTCCCCGGGCCGGCGGTATTTACTTGACTCCCACGAGGTCAAGATGTGACACAAGGTCGTTTTTCGTGGGATTACTTGACTCCCACGGGGTCAAGACGTGACACAAGGTCGTTTTTCGTGGTAAAACCCAAGCGTTTCCGCATAGGGTCACTGGTCAAAGATTTATCACAACATAAGCTGGTCAAGGCTTAGTAAATGTTTTGGTCATAACATGTCCAAGCTGGTCAAAGATTAGTCAAGTTCTGGTCTTGGCAGGTCCTGATATGGTCCAAACTAGACTTTGCCATGGTTGCAACCCAACCCGAAGGCCGGGCTGCTCCCCGGGCCGGCGGTATTTACTTGACTCCCACGAGGTCAAGATGTGACACAAGGTCGTTTTTCGTGGGATTACTTGACACACACGGTGTCAAGACGTGACACAAGGTCGTTTTTCGTGGGAAAAACCCAAGCGTTTCCGCATAGGGTCAAAGATTGGTCACAACATGTCCAAACTGGTCAAGGCTTAGTCAAGTTCTGGTCTTAGCTTGTCTTAACAGGTCCTGATATGGTCCAAACTAGACTTTGCCATGGGTCGCAACCCAGACCGAAGGCCGGGCTGCTCCCCGGGCCGGCTAAAAACCGCTGCGAAGTCTCGGGCATCTAGATATGACGGCTCATACAAGAGAAAGCGGTGACGCTAAACAAGTAAATGAATATAATTAATTTCGGGCCGTATTAATTACAGTCAAAAGTGTGTTCGGTGTTTGTTGACTGTATTTAAATTAATTTCGGTTCGAAATTAAAGGTCTTTTATTTTTGTTTAGTGGCGAAAATTGAGTTTTGTGTGTTTCTGACAGTTTGAAAGGATGTCGTTGCTATTTTTAGCACACAAGGGCCGTGACCTTTCTCTACAGGACGGCATATCCGGGCTTGTTTAAGAAAAGGTGGGAGTGGTGTTTGGGCACACTGCGACAATGTATCCGTTTCACGACTGTCCGGTGTAACGGCCGAGAAAAAGGAGTGTCGCAATTGATTTTTTCCTTGAGACGACTGACGGCGAAGAACAAAAACCGGTTTGCCGGCGGACCCTAGCCACTTATTTTTTGTTTTCTTTCTCTTCTTTTGCTACAATAAATATATATCCGACGCGGACAATACGACTTTCATGCGTATTACTATCTTCAAGTATTTCTATCAGTTTGGTTAAAATTTCAGGGTCCCGCGAGATTGGGATATTGTTTGGGTGAATTATTATTGATGTTAAGTATTCAATTTCATTTCACTATAATTTTAATTTAAATTTATGCTCAAACTTGCACTTATAATTGAAAAAAAATAACAAATTAAAAAATTATGGTTTTCTTTGAAAAAACTTATGATTAAGAACGCTGTTAAGAAAAATACGTTTGATGTTCAAGGAAGGTAACTCTTATTTTTTTCTGCTTAGAATAAATAAAGATAAAATTGTTAACGATAAATAAATAAATAAAATTATAGTAAAAAATAATAATAATAATATTGATAACATAAATAAAATATAATTAATAAGAAAATGAAAATAGTAAAAATACAGTAGAATCCCTGACAACCGGTTTAAGAAGGCTTTTCGGATATGAGGAATTGGTTACAAAGTCCGGATAATAGGGGTTTTACGTAGTTAAAATAAAAGAAATGAAATCAGATTTAAGATTTATTTTCACTGTTTTATAGTGAACAAAATAAACTAATGCCGAGTGAAACATAACGGAATTGATTTTATGGAAGAAGAAATAAATTATGTAATGTTAATGAAAATTCATTAAATTAAGTATGCCACGTATGTAAAACAAATAATGTAACGAGGATTTTTTTAATCGCTGTTAGATGATGATTCTTTCTCTTGTAATGTCATTCTCAACTATTTCCGCATTTAGTTTTGCTTTTGTTCTTGAAATATTTTTAACAAAAGACACTTTTTAAATCTGCATGCGTTATTGCAATCGTCATGGCTGAATGTTTGCTTTCTTTCCATAAAACTGACAACCGTTTCAATAGCTTTTTCAATTTCAAGCCTGGTTTCAACAAAATCATGCATCACGTTGCTATCTTGTTGCAGATATGTCTCGTTGTCATCCTTTCCTCTCATTCCCATCATCTTTTGCACCAATACAAGCCATTAGGGTGATATAAGCATAAGCAATTAGTCAAAGTAAATTTTCTGAAATACTAAAATTTCAAATCAGTTACATATCACCCATATACTTCAAATATACACATCAAAATCGTGTCCGGATGTCAGGGATTCCGGATACGAGACACTTCGGATATGGGAGATTCCGCATATGAGGGCTTCTACTGTGGTAAAAATAAGATGATAAGTCATAGTAATAATAACATCAATAATAATAATAATAATAATAAAAATAATCAAAGCCAACCGCCCAGGCATTGTTGTTATTAAAGACCTCAAAAAAAAAAAGTAGTCCCTTATTGATATGGCAGACCCTGCAGACTGTAATGTATCTTTGAAGATATCCAAAAAGCTGTCAAAATACAAGGACCTTGAAATGGAAATCTCAAAAATGTAGCACATGGGAACATCAACAATCCCTGTTGTAGTTGGAGCACTCGGATTGGTTAGAAAAGATTCCAGTAGTCTAATTGAAGGGATTCCTGGAAGCCCATGCCTCAAAGAAATACAAAAAATTATTCTAACAAGTATAGCCCACATTTTACGAAGAGCTTTATCTATGTAAAATATGTGTTTTTTTTTTTCTTTTCTTTTTTTTAACCAGTTGAAAGTGTTATGATGCTATTTCTAACCTTAGGTCTCGAGACCCGGAAAGAAATATGTACACGCCAAAAATCAAAGGAAATAAAAACAATATTTCCATCATTTCTGCATCAATGCAAGCCATTAGGGTGAAATAAGCATAAACAATTATCCAAAGTGAATTTCCTGAAAAAAAGAAAATTCAGATCCGTTACATATCACCCAAATAGTTCAAATATACGCATAAAAATCCTGTCCGGATATGAGGGATTCCGGATATGAGGCACTCCGGATATGAGAGATTTCGTATATGAGGGCTTCTACTGTGGTAAAAATAAAATGATAGGTCATAAAAACAACAACAACAATAATAATAATAATAATAAAAATTAATTTTTTATAATAATAATAAAAATTTTTTTTTTCTTTTTCTCTTACTTTAGGCATCCCATATCTCTGCCGTTGCGTATATGTGTACATGTTTACTAATATCTGTATGTATCTCTCTCTCTCCCTTATATATATATATATGTATATATATATATATACGTATATAATTTACATGTGTATGTATCCGCATTGACAGGGATCATATTGTTTTTTTTTTTTTAAATCTCTATACTAAAATCTATTTATCCCCCTTGGAGTGGTCACTCGGACTCATACTAAGTTAAAACTTAGTACAGTCTACCCCACTGAATACCATGTGCTTTTGGATCTTGTTC